AACTCGGCCAATGGCTTAGGCCCATTTCTAACTAGCTTTTATAACTTAAATTAACCCATATCTTTTCATCTATGTGCTCCATGTGACACATGACTGTTACCTCTCCTCCTGCATGTCTTGCTTTTCCTCCATATACTGGCATCTCTGTCCTTTGTCTCAGCCTCCTCTCTACCCTAAAACCCTGCCTCACTATTGGCCATTCAGCTTTTTATTAAACCAGTTTAAGAGACACATCTTCACAGTATAAAAATGGTTATTCCACAACAGACAACTTGTGAAGATATTACACAGCAGACTTTGATTTACCTCAATGTAGTTAAGGAAGGAAGAGGACTATGACTTAAACATTGTCTCATGGAGTGTCAGGGCTCAGGGTTTGGGCATGAAAGAGAAATCAGAATGAGGACTTAAGTCCTTGACCTGTGTCTTAGGTGACCAGGTCTCACCTCTTCTTCTCTGGTCTGCTCATACCTCCAATTAGTCTAGAAAAGGTCACCACTCCTCCACCTGTGGGTTGTATCTTCTTGCTTTGTCCCCAAGGGTCTCCCTGGTAGTAGTCTTGTTGCCAGCATCTGGGCATCATCCAGCATCCCTACTGGGAACAGAAATGGCCCTTTCCCAGCTCTCCTAGGAAGGCTCTCTCCTAGAGAGGCTAAGGGCCATAAAACCTTAGCATCTGGACCCACTGGGTAGAAGTAAAAATGTCTGAGCTTGCCTTTGTTAAACAGAATTTTATAGTCACTATCTTCAGGAGCCAGCACTGGCCTACTTGCAGAGGAAGTGAGAGATTTAGCCCCTCAAACTCTACAGAACCTTGGAATTTTTCTGGAGATTGAGCTGCTGAGAATCCCAACTCTCTGGACTTAGCGGCCTTCACCTTTTAGTCTCTTTCCTATTAGAGAAAGAAACAGCTAGTCAGTGACACAGTCTTTGGATTTACAAGTGGTAAGATGGTCACTAGTATTTGACTTGTGGGTAGTGTTCAGGCATCTGTGGGTCTAGGGATAATAATTAGTTGAGCTATCCATTTCCAGGTCCTCTGTGCATACATCTCAAACTCCCCAGACCTCTTCTCTCATTGCCTGCTCTTCCTACTTATTTTCTCAGCTTTGTGACTTTGCTTTTTTTCCTTTCTTTGTTTATTTATTTAATAATTATTTACAGATTCATCTCTTTAAAATTACATCAAGAAATAGACTATGGAGTCCTGAACTCAAAAGCCTCAAGTGAAGCAGAAAGCCATATCCATTACAGAGCAGCGGTGATTGATGTCTTTAAAGGAGTCTTCACACACACAGTCACTGCCTGGTGCACTTTGTGAGCCAAGAAATCATGATTTTGTTTTGGCTTTTCCTTTGGTAGGAGGTGTGAAGTTGCTGTAGCCTAGCTTGGCTTCAAACTCACTATAAAGTTGAATATTTCCTTGGACTTCTCATCCTCAACCTTCCTAGATTGGGGCTACACTGTGTAGCTTTTTCTGGCTTGGAACTCAATCATGATGTTGTTTGTGGCATTGAGCTCACAGACTTGGGCCAAAAGGCCTGGTGTGTCACTGTAAGTGAAGTCAGAGGACACTGTGCTGGGAAAACATAAGAGACTGTGGGTCACTAAACGGTGTCCCCATGCCATAGAAATCACACCTCAAATCCTCTTTCCTTGGATCCTTCTACATTCAGTACAGCCCAGGACTTCCCAGTTTCAGAAAGGAAGGGTAATCCCATCAGGAGAGCTAGTTTGTGGCTAGTCTTCCAGCTCTGTCCCGGGAGGACTCTGTCCTGTGCTGAGTCTCCATAAGTTCAACTAGGTGAACAATGTGAAGACTTTGCCTTCCTCACATCCCCACTTCAGAGCCTGTGTGCTAGAAACAGAGAAGGTGACGAGAGAGTCAGGCTCTAGCATCCCACCACATAAACTCCCTCTTGTCCATGCCTGTAATCTGGAACAAAGCTCCTGTGTCAGGCCTTAGGTGTTCGCCTATAACACACAGGTAAGAATACTTCCTTCAGTGAAGTGTTGGAATGTGGAGATAAATGTAGGGGGACAATGACTAAAATATACAAATTACTTAATAAATACTAGTTTTCTGTGATTGCAAATTTTAGGAAATCACCTATAAAGCCATATTCTTTCAGAGATAATTCTTTCTTATTTTTGTGGGGATTCAGTTAACGGGAGAAGAAGAAAAGTTTGATCACGTTGTTTGGTGTCAAAATTGATATGGGATTCCTCTAGGATTCTCCAGATTGTAACCAGCCAATGAACAAGGTTGCAGGATGTACCCTACCTTTGTTAGGGTCCGGGGTGGCAGCTTCCTGACCAAGCTGAGTCCTGCTGTAGACACGGTGTGGGCCACACAGTGCAGGCGTTGGTTTCCCTTCTCCATGATGAGTATCTAAGCAATCTCTTCAGGTGTGAGAGAGGAAAAGAATGCAGGATACCAGGAGGACCTGCGTGGAGATTTGTGTGAGGGGAGAGAGGAGATGGAGGAGAGAGTTGTGAGCCTAGGTGTAGTGTCCACAGATAAACAGTTTAGGGACGACCTGTGCACCGACCTCAGAGGACAGGGCATGGAACTCTTAAAGGGCTTCCAGCAGCGGCCAGGTAAGACTGTGCAGAACATTTGAAAATTTGCTGCAACAGAAACATGGAGGACGTGTTGATGAAGACAAAGGGTCCGCACAGAGAAAGGGAAGTGGACACACGCACCCCTAAAACAGAAGCAGTTTGCAGTGATACCTGCTATGAAAGGGGAAACCAGCTGTCCCCAATAGAATGTCACTGTATGTATCAGTTACCCTCCAGAGTAGGCCACACGCCAGGAGTGTTGGCCAACAGGAAACTGACTCCACATTTTCTTTGTTTTTAGTACTTTTGTTTTGATTTTATTTTTTAGTTAGTTTTGTTGTTTGTTTTGACTTGAAAGAGAGAGTAGGGGAGAAAACATGAACTTGGGTGGAGAAGATCTGGAAGAAGTTGGGGGAGGGGAGAGATATGACCAAAGTATATTATATTAAAGCAATTTTAAATTAGCATAAATAAGACTGTATCAATGGGAGAAATGTTAGAGGCATAGACACATGGAGACACTGATGCAGAAATGTCAGGAGAGATGATGGGCTCCTGCCCTGGGTGGAAAGAAGAACAGAGCTGTCAGGGTTATGAGCAGTAGACTCAACAGGAGAGGGGATGGGGACAGGGAAAGAGAAGACTGAGGATGTCTAGGAGTCTCTTTCATATTTCTGCTCCCATCAAAAGGTATTCCCACCTTATCCATTATCTTGTTGGTTAACATGAATGACACCATAGTTCAGGCAATTTTGAACAGTGTTAAAAATTTTCCTTTACTTATCTTTCCTTGAGCATATATTTGTATGTGCCTAGATGTTCACAGATTGTTTCAGAAATATAGTTGACACCTATATTGTTGAGCAAAGCATTAAATATGTTCAACTTTAGGGAACACAGCCAGGCACACACTAAAGGGATAATTTATATTTACTCTCTCATTAGATTCAGTTACTCTTGTCCATATTGGGTTCTGTTATCGTAGCCAGGCTGGCAAGGGTGTGGTGATGGGAGACTGAGAAGAGGAGGTGGGCGTTGGTGCTGTGCTGATCTTTTGTAGTTTCCAGATGTAATGATGCTGAGAACCTCAGCCTCCTCAGTGCTCACTGGACAGCTGCCTGTGAAATGCTCGTTAAATGTGGTTCACTGTTCTATAGGAGCCTCTGCTGTTATGTTTATGTTTTTTCTACATCTTTGTATAAATATTTTGAGTAGTTCTTTTTTTCCCTTATTCTAGATTATCATTGCTTTTTTCCTCCATGGAAAGTTCTCCTTTGGAGAAATCTTGCCTTTGCTTACTCTAAGAGGATAAAAATATTTATCAGGCTTGATGTTAGAAATTTAGTTGCAGCCAAATGGTGGTAGCACATATCTGTAATCCCAGCTCTCAGGAGGCAGAGGCAGGTAGCTTTCTGTGAGTTCAAGGCCAGTCTGGTCTACAAAATGAGTTCCAGGACAGTCAGAGCTGTGACACAGAGAAATCCTGTCTCAAAAAACCAAAAATTTAAAAGATGGGGTTGCTTTAGATTTAACACTCACATGTACAGTACATCTGGAATTGATTGTGTATATACAGAGGGAGATAAGAGTAGAAAAGGAAGAATTTTCCTGCTCACTTGTCCATCAGTGTTCCCTGGGAAGACTGCAGTGTCTCCAGTGCATTGCATGCATGAACTATATTATTATTCATATGATTCTGTGTGCTTCTATGTTTCCTTTGTTTACTTGTTTACTCTCTTTTTGAATATCTGTGGAGTGTGTGTGTTTCTCTCTCTTTCTGTGTGTGTGTGTATGTGTGTGTGTGTGCGCACATGCACGCATGTGAGTGGGTGTTCAAAGACTAACAGGATCCTTCCTCAATTGTTCTCCACTTATTCATTAAGGCACGGTCTCTCAGTTGAATCCAAAGCTCATCATTTCAGTTAGTGTAGCTAGCCTGCTTGCTCTCAGCATCAATCTCTACTTTCCCAGAGGTGAAATGAGGCTATAAGACTACATACGACATGTCATGTGTCACATGGTGTTTCCAGGAGTTATGTGAGATGCTTTAGATATTCATCATAAGCTAGAGACATGAGTGTCATCAGCCTCATTTGATAGATGAAGAGACTAAGGCATGGGAAGGTTCAGTAACTTGAGAAGTGTGCACAGAAACTGAACAGTGTGCTCAGAAACATACCCCAGTCTTTCTTTTCTTAATTCAAAAGTACTATTTTTATTCATTTTATGAATGTAGGTTTTTGTTTACAAGCATGTTTGTGCATCATGTATGTGTCGTGCATGTAGAGGTCAAAGAGGGAGTCAAATCCTTGGAACTGGAGTCACAGACAGCTCTGAGCAATCTGGTTCCCTGAAACAGCAGTCAGTGCTCTTAACCTTTTTAGCGATCTCACCAGCCTGTGTCTTCCATTTCTGCATCTATAGCTGGCCTGTGTCCAGTGACTCATAGATGAATGTGATTCTCTTACAGGACCCACCATGTGGATGATTCCAGGACAGAACCAAACCAGGGTTTCTGAGTTTATTCTGCTTGGCTTCTCCAGTGACCCCACGACCAACAGCATCCTCTTCAGTGTGTTCCTTCTCATCTACCTGAGCTCAGTCCTGGGCAATGGACTCATCATCCTGCTGATATGCCTGGACTCACATCTGCACACTCCCATGTACTTCTTCCTCTGTATACTTGCCATGGTGGATATGGGCTATGTCACCACCACCATGCCCCAGATGTTGGTGCACCTTCTTGCTCACTCTCACACCATCTCCTTTGCTGGCTGCTGGATGCAGATGTATGTGTTTAGTGCCCTGGGTATAACTGAGTGCACTTTCTTTGTTGTCATGGCTTATGACAGATATGTGGCCATTTGCTACCCACTACGCTATACTGTCATCCTCAACTGGGGACTGTGTATACGATTGGCATCTGGGTCTTTAGTCTGTGGTTTCCTATCTGCTTTGTTACATACTTTCTTCACCATGAGTCTGCCATATTGTGGGCCCAACAAGGTCAACCACTACTTCTGTCAAGGTCCTTCAGTGCGTAGCCTGGCTTGCATGGATACCCACCTCATTGAGATGGTAGACCTGATCTTGAGTGTTTTGTTAGTTGTTACTCCAATTTCTCTCATTGTGGCCTCATACATTCATATTGCTCTGGCAATTCTCAAGATCAAGTCCACCCAGGCCCGTTGCAAGGCCTTCTCTACCTGTGCTTCCCACCTGACTGTGGTCACATTCTTCTATGTTCCAGCCTCTTATATCTACATGAGACCCCACTCCAGCTACTCTCCTGAGCAAATCAAGCAGATCTCACTCTTTTACAATGTCTTCACAGCCTTGCTCAACCCTGTGGTCTACAGTCTGAGGAACAAAGACATTAAAAGGGCATTTCTCAAGGTGATTGGGCATAGTTCAGTGGACTATTGATTCAGGATCCAGCAGAAGCTGGAGTAGAATATATTCTATTTAAGGAAGGTACAGTGTCTTTATTTAAGTAACTGCCCTGTGCATTTGAACCAACATAGTACTTAACAGTAGGTAGACAAACCATTGTGAAACCAAGGTGGCTGTATTTGTTAGGAGGCTACTTTAAGTAAGAAACAACACCAAAAACCTCAGTAATCTTTGTGAATTATAAGTGAAAATGCTCATTAGTTACTCATGTTGTTAGCTGTAGGTTGGGAGTGACCTTCTCTTCTCTCACATCCACCTTGAAGCTGTTATGTGGACTGCACCTTCTATAACAGAAGGGAGCATTGCACAAGACTCATTATGACTCACTGCTTGTCAAAAGTGACATATTGTTTACATCCATTCCACTTATTACCACAAATTATGTGGTCAACCCTAGTGGTAAACCACTTAATGCTATTTTCTTCCTACCTAGAAGCAATTAGGATCGCACGGAATAGTCTGGTATATGTCGTTTCTCTACGATGGCCAGTAAATAACAGAGATATTGTAACCTATCATTGTACCACAGAAACAGTGTCATACATGAAGGCAATGAGGAACATTGACCGTGTTTTATGTAAGTGACATGGTAATGGAAAATGTTGCGTGTCAAGCAATATTAACAAAGTGGTATACATAAACAGTATGTGCTACCAACCCTAAAATAAGTCAATAGTATGCCTAACCTGTGAAACTTAGATATGTGACTTTATGCATGAAATCAATGTGGTTTGTGAGCAGATATGGTGAACTTCACATTGTATTCTCAAAGACACAAAGCTTGACATTAATGGTCCTGGGTTCTCATCTCAACTTTGCTGACTTTGTTAGTATATGAATGATTTTGGCCAAATTACTTCGCTTGGATTTCACTTTATTAATCAATAAAATTAACACCTTGACTGTGTCTCCAAAGCCTGCTTGGACTCTGGGGTTCTCCATTCTCTTTTCTCTGTTCTCTCCCATGTGGGGACATGGTAAGAAGGTAGCTGTCAATGAGCTAATAAGAGAAAGAGATGCTCAGTAGATGTTGCTCATGCTGCCAGCTGACCACAGAGGTGATGGCTAATCTTGTCTGTCAATGTCACTGGGCTGAAAGACAGTTAGAAAATTTATAATCATATTTCTCAGTGTACCTTTGGGGTGTTCCACAGGCGTTGGGCATGTGGGTCAATCATCCAAGGGGCAATGTATTCAGAAGCTCCTCCTTCATTCCCAGCCACCCAGACATGAAATAATCACACAGAAACTATATTATTTGCAGTACTGTTTGACCATTAGCTTAAGGGTCAGCTAGCTCTTACATCAAACCATATTAGCCTGGAAGGAATCCACATGTCATCCTCTGAGGAAGCAAAGCAACACCTCCAAAATTTTGCATACAAAGTTCCAGGCCAGTCAGGGCTACACACTGAACAATCCCTCCTCCCCCCTTCACATCACACTCACACACAAATGCTGGAGGAAGGCCCTCATAGGCATATAGAGTATGTAGGAGAGGCAGAGATGAATCACAGGACAGGGCAGAGGCAGGGTCCATGAGGATCCTGAGATGCTGATTGGAGGCGTGCTGCACTCTGAAGAATGATAACCTCTGGTGGGGAATATTTTGTTAAGCCGTAGTACTTTTGTTTGTATTTCAGTTGTTTAACTCTATGAAGCTGTGATTCTTTGCCTATCTAGAACACCTGATGGTCTAATAAAGATCTGAATGGCCAATAGCAAAGTAGGGGAAAGAATAGGTGGAGAAGGCAAGCAGAGAGAATATACAGAAGGAGAAATCTGGAGAAAGAGGAGAGGTGGCCAGGGAAGGAGAAGGACATCAGGGGCCAGTCATCTAGCTACACAGAAATTCAGAGTAAGAGTAAGATTTACAGAAGTAAGAGAATAGGAAAAGCCCAGGGGCAAAAGGTAGAAGGATACATAAGTTAAGAAAATCTGGCAAGAAATAAGCCGAGCTAAGGCCAGATAATTATAACTAAGAATAAGATTCCATGTGATTTATTTGGGAACTAAGTAATGGGCACCCAAAAAAAGAGTCAAAAGAATAAAAACCATCATACTACAAATGTCCAATATAGGGCTGACTTTAGGAGGAATGACTGGGAAAATGTGGGATTGAATGCTGGGACTCCCAGGGGACTCAGGATGTATGAATGAAGGATCTCCCCCTTAAAGAGCTACAATGCATGTGGAGCACCTAAGAAAGACTCTGCATCGGAACCTGGGAGGAGTGACCAATGTTGATTATGCTGCTGGAGACAGAGCTGGGGAAGAGTGGACTGGGGAGTCAAGCAGAGAAGAGCAGGTAACTGGTGAGAGGTGGTGGTTCTGGGAAATGCACGGGTGGAAAGTTTCTGACTAGACTGCTTAGGGTGAACTTCAATTTGCAGCCTCAGATGTTGTCATGGAAACCTGCACTCTTCACATCCAGCCACCTGTTTGATGCCCTCAAATCCTCTAGATCATCTAGCTGCTGGGTGGACTCATTCACAAGGGTCCCTGCATGGTTCCTGAGGTCTGCAAGATCATACATAAAAGTTTTCTTTCTGCAAACTTCACTCACTGTGAAGGCCTCTTCTCTGGCTACTACTCAATGTACCTTCTTTGTTGTCACAGCTTATGACAGATATGTGGGCCATTTGCTACCTAATTCATTATAGTGACATCCTCAACTGGGGACTGTGCATATAGTGAACAGCTGGGTCTTTGGTCTGTGGTTTCCTCTCTGCTTTGTTACATACATTCTTCACCACGAGTCTGCCATATTGTGGGCCCAACAAAGTCAACCACTACTTCTGTGAAGGCCCTTCAGTGTGTAGCCTGGCTTACATGGATATCCACCTCATTGAGATGGTAGACCTGGTCTTGGGTGTTTGGTGATTGTTACCTCAATTTCTCTAATAGTGGCCTCTTACATTCATATTGTCATGGCAATTCTGAAGACTGAGTCCACCCAGGGCTGCTGCAAGTCTTTCTCCCTCTGTGTCTCTCACATGACTGTGGTCACACTTTTCTATGGTCCAGCCACTGACATCCACATGAACTCCAACTCCAGCTACTCCCCTGAGTGAGACAAGCAGATCTTCCTCTTTTACAATGGCTTCACAGCCTCGCTTAAACCTGTGGTCTATGTTCTAAGGAACAAAGACATTAAAGAGGGTATTTCTCAAGGTGATAGGGCACGGTAGGGTAGACTACTGAACAAGGATCCAGGAATAGCCAGAGTGGAGTATTTTAGAAAAAGGGAGTGTCTGTATTTATGAAACTCCCTGTGCATTTGAACCAACACAGTACTTGATAATTGGGACAAACCACTGTGAAACCAAGGTGACTGTCTTGATTGACAGGCTACACTAAGGTACAATTCCAAACACCTCAATAATCTTACTGGATTGTAGATCCAAAGATTCATCTGTTCATTATGTTTGTAGTTGTAGGTTGGGAGTGAACTTTTTACTTTCACATTTATCCTGAATGTCACCCTAGAACAGAAGGGAAGATACAGTGGACAATCTCACAAAGGCGCAACTTCTCAAGATTGACCTGCTTCTCTTGCCACACAGTCTTTGAACAAAGCGAGTAGTATGATTCAGCCTGACAGAAGGGGATGGGGAGCTTTCTTTATAAGAAGAAACAATACATATTCTGTGGTCATGGAATGATATGATGTTTCCTGCACCTAGAAGCCAGGAGATCATGTATATTACGTAACCTGGTTTGGTCCCCAGAAAACAGCAGCATACTTATAAACTAACACAAAACATGCTGATGTAGGAGGGTCATCTGCCTATGTATTACTTTCATTGGTTAATAAAGAAACTGCATTGGCCTTTTGATAGACCAGCCCTTAGGTTGGTGAAGTAGACAGAACAGAATTCTGGGAGGAAGAAAACAGAGTCAGGCAGATGCCATGATTCTCTGACCCGAGATGGACACAGGTTAGGATCTTTCACCTCGTGGTGCTACACAGATTACTAAATATGGGTTAAAGCAAGATATGAGAATTAGCCAATAAGAGGCTGGAACTAATGGGCCAGGCAGTGTTTAAATGAGTACAGTTTCCGTATAATTATTCTGGGGCTAAGCTAGCCATGCAGGATCCGGGTGGGACGAACAGCAGGCCTGCTCGCCTCTTCACTACAACATGCAGACTGGATAGCATGATAGTAGAGACAGCAGAAGGCTGAGGCACTATATGCTAAGTAGCACAGTGCGTGTTTTCAGGACAGAGATAAGATGATAGTTTGTGGAACAGAACCAATACAGCTAAGAGAACAAACCTCACACATAACTTCAGTGTGGTCTATGGAGAAGCATAATGCCCTCTTCTGCCAAGTGCTGCAGTGCTGGAACTGAAGGGAACAGGGTTCCCATTAGAACCTTCCAACATCTGCTCCAATTTTCAGGCACACCTAAGGGCAGGCTCCTCTGTTGACTGCTGACTACTGGTTTCCTTTCTGCCCTTTGATGTGGGTGGGTATACATTGCCTCCCACCTTCAGAGTAGCTCTGACCTGACCAATCAGCAAATTCCTCTCTGATTCCGTGACTGAACTATTCTTTCCTAAGGAGGCCTCAGACTCTCCAGTTTTATTTTGTGGTCACATATTTTTGCATTATGGCTACACTCCATTCATAGTCAGTACTCGTTGCTATTGTTTACTTACAAATCCATTTTTTGAGAATTCTTGCATATCCTGGGGTAGCCTGGAATTTTCACATTGCTGAAGTAACCTTGAATTTTTGATCTTCCTGCCTCCAGCCTCCACCTCCCCAGTGCTGTGATTATTTTGATGGGTCACCAAACCTCAGAGAGGTTTTGTTTCTTTGATGATGTTCTTTGTAGTGTAAAAGTTTTCACTTTGGTAAATAAAATTAATGCTTTGGGGGGGGGGTGGCTGATTCGCCTCATGTAGCCCTGCCTGGCCTGAATCTCACTAGATTGAACATGCTGGCCTTGAACTCACATAG